GTCATAAGCATTCAGAGACCAGTTGATCAAATCCATAATTCTCTTTTAGGTTTTAGAGAATGACTGTGAGAGAGTGTTCAGGGAAAGTAATACACACGAAACAGGACAAGGACACAAGAGGCTAAGCAGGGAAGATAAGGGGAAGGAGGAGAGGAGAAAAGTGCGACCGCCTTCGCCGAGAGCTGAAGAAGCAGTCAAAGGGATCACTGATGATTTTGGCTGCCTGTCTAAGTCAGTCTAAGTCAGTGCCTGTGCTTTCAAGGTTGTGGCCCCAAAGCTGCGGCTCTCACTTCCACTGGAATTAAGATCTGTGAACACTGTTGATATCTTTAAAAAGACACTTAAGACCCACCCCAGGGGTGACCCTGCACAGGTGGGAGACATGATTGTTCCTTCGAGGCGAGTTAAAACTCCTCCTAACATCAGTCCCTTGGTGACTAAATCTGTGATGTCCAGCATACAGAAAATTAATCTCAACATCCGTGCACAAAAAGAAACCATCGTGCACACGTGAGTGACTGCTTTACATGCATTGGGGGCGACCGTGGCTCAGGGGAATGGGAAGGTCATCTGTAACCGGAAGGTCGCCAGTTTGATCCCCCTGCTCTCTCTGTCCTGGTCGTTGTGTCCTTGGGCAAGACACTTTACCCTACCGCCTACTGGTGTTGGCCAGAGGGGCCGATGGCGCGATATGGCAGCCTCACTTCTGTCAGTCTGCCCCAGGGCAGCTGTGGCTACAACTGTAGCTGCCTCCACCAGTGTGTGAATGTGACAGTGAATGAATTGTAAAGCGCTTTAGGTGCCTAGAAAAGCGCTATATAAATGCAAACTATTATTATTGCTACAGTTTCACGCTCTCTGGCCCTTCTGTCTTCAGAGTTATTGAAATTTATCATGGAAGGATCTGGTCTCCAGTCCACATGATTTCAAAGCTGTGATGAAGCTGTTGGTGCACATTTGACTTTCACACAGTGTTACAGCTTCTGACCTGCACATTATTCTTTCTATCTTTCCCTCTAACCTCTGATCCTCCAGTTGGCTCTGTGTTCGACACTGTAAACAGCTTTTATTGTGAAGGTTCTCAAAGGAGGGGACTTCCTGTGAAAGAGAACCTTTTTCTGTGCCATCAGCTGCAGAGTAACAGCTCTGCTCTGACAGCCGGCGGTGAGCCTGAGAGGATCAGCTGTAACGGGATTGTTACTGAGGATGAAGATGATGATCCTGCTCCTCTTACTCGGTAAGAAAGCTGCTCTGATCCTTTGAACACACACACACAGGCGCACGCATGCACACACACACACAAACAAACACACACATGGATGCATGCACACACACACACATGATTCTTAAACCATCAGGAAACATGGAGTAATAGTTCAATGCAGCTGAACTACATTAAAACAAAGGTTTATTTATTCATTAAGGTAAATGTGCTTCGTGCAAACTAAATTTCTACAGTCAAGCATGTTTTTATTTGACCACACTGAACTACCCTGTGGTCATGTGGCCAAATGTGAAGCTGGGTGTTCACAGTGAGTGCAGAACACTTCAGTAAAACCTCCACATTGACATTATTTATTAACTGCTCATGTCCACTGATTAAGCTCTTTTATGTGATGAAGCTCACTCCCATGGCCTCCATGCAAGATGGACCTGCTCCACCCGCTGAACACTGAGCTGTGTTCATGTCTCTACATGGTCTATGTGATGATCTGACGTGTTTAACCTTAGACTGCAGGGAGGAGTCTGTACTACAGGAAGTGCCCACTGAGCCTTTTTTAGATTTAACCTCACACCCCAGCAGGTGGAGGAGCCAGAGAGAGAAAAAAGAAGCCGTGTGGGGAGCGTGGTCGTTCAGTGCTGTAACTTCAGCTTGACCACAGTGGAACATTCACCCACACCCTAAGATATCAGTACTACATATAAGCATCAGTACCCACATGCAGTATCAGTACAACAATCAGTATCAGTACTACATATCAATATCTGCACTACATGCAGTATCAGTACATACAGTAAATCAAATCACTTTTATTGTCACATCACATGTGCAGGTACACTGGTTCAGCACATGCAA